TTCCTTATTTATCTCTTCTGTGAATTTTTTATCCTTTAATAAGGCTTTGTTTAACCTCCATCTGGGCATTTTTACTGTCCCTTTCAGTGATATAGTTACAGGGTTATGATCTGCCCAGACATTTGCCTCTATTTCAGCTTCTAGCAAGTCTGGTACTAAGTCTGGGGTTATCCAAACCATATCAATTCTACACCACGACCTATGTCTATTTGAATAGAAAGTATATTTAGCAGAGGTTGGGTTTTTATGTCTCCAGATATCAATCAATCTGAATTCTTCAATCATATCAGAACAAGACTTTGGAAGTATCCTCCTGCCTTTTCTGCCCTTACTCTCACTCTTATGGTCCATTTTCTTGTCCACAATTGCATTAAAGTCTCCCATTACATACACACACGGTCTGGTAGTCCAATTGTGAGAGTAAAGCATGTAGTTTTTGGTAAAACATTTCCTTTGGGGCATAAATTGCCACTAAAAGCACCTTTTTAAGTTTCATTGTAATTTCAACCATCAGAATTCTGCCATCCTCATCAGCTAATATATATTTAGGCTCTAATTTTTCCTTGATATATAATGCTAAACCTCTTTTCTTTTGCGAAGTGGAAGATATAAATAGCTTTCCATGCTTTAAACATTTCAAAAGCTTACCATGTTGTTTGTTAAGATGTGTTTCTTGTCAGATTGCTTTTGCTTATAGCTACCTTTAAGTTAAGATTTAGGAAGCTTTGCTGATCATTCAAAAATTAAGATAATGCCTCTGCACAACAGTTTGATGGCAGGCCTTCTTGGTGGCAATGCTCACCTTTTTGAAAACTCTCTCTTGTGAAGTTCAGGGGGCAGAAAATGAGGCATGGTTCAAACATCTCCTGAAAACATACTTATTCATGCAGGCATTCTGTGGCTTGTAATTGAATGAATCATTATGTTTCATTTTACTGCTTCTCCGTTGTGCTGTATCATTATCATAATTATCATTATCATTACATTGTATTAACACTGCATTTTAAATGTGGTTTTAATATAAATATTTTATTATGCAGGGATATATAAATGCAACAAATAAATGAGTTTCATTGGCTTTCAGTGGGCGAACTCTAGGTATACCAGGTGGATTTCTGTTTCTTTAGCAGAGGTGAAGAATCTGGGCACAGGTCTCTTTAATTTCCCTTCAGTTAAACTACTAAAATTCTCCTCCTCTTCTTTTTAGTCACGTATTTCCAATTAAATGTGTCCCTGAATCAGTTAAAGATAAACAATAGAAACTGTAAATGCAATCAAAAAGAATAAGGGGATTCCAAAGGAATCCAGTCCGGTGCAGTACCAAAGCAAGTGGATAAACAAAACCACCAGCAGCAAAACATGGCATTAACACGTAGCCGTGGCCTCCCGTGCTGTCCATCTTCCCAGCTTTGAGTTAGGCTCTCTGGGATGACCAACAGGACTGGGCGGGATAGCGCTCCAAGTGCAGGCAGTTTCAGATGCTTGGATCCATCCTGCGACTGTGTCTGAGGGCGAAATCTCCCATACTTCGTTAAACCCTACAGCGCCACCTACTGGCTAAAGCTGTAGAGAGCTTCTTCGCCTCTGAAATGACTCTTGCTTTGTCAATACAGGACTTGTGGAAACAAGTCGTCAGAATGCCAGTGACGCTGGTGCGAAGGTGCTAGAAAGGGCTGGGAGGAAGGGTGGCTTCTGCTGCAAAGCAAGGGGGCAATAATGGAGGCAGAGCAAAGCCCGCATTCCATCTGTGGAAAGCAAATGAGGTGATGTCTCCTGCTATGTCTCTTCACCCTCAAGATATGCCATATTTTAATTTAACCTTCTAATTAATTTTTTTGCAGAACTCTGAAAGCCTGCCAAAAGATGTGGGTTAAATTTAATTTACTTGGTCTTGTTATTTCAGGAGACTCACAGTTCAAGCATTTAGGGATGCAAGCTTTGCGTAAGTGAGAACAACGGCATCACCACCAACTCAACCCAGAATGGAGCAGAGAAATTCTGTATCCAGAGAAAAGTAAGCTCACTGGTGCTTCCCCCAGGAAGGGATGCCTGTGCTGCGCTACATGTGGCATTTCCAGGCTTGCAATTGCAGTCCTGCAACTGAGGACTCCATTTGCCTCCAAGGGACAAACTGCCATGACATGAAAAAATGTGTGCCTGCTGCTGAAAATGGCAGCCTTGTGTTTGGCTCCCTTCTCCCCCATATAATACCTTGCAGAGTAAAATTTATTTATATTATTTTATTTCATCTGTTTCTGAAACATAATATAGATACTTATATTGGGGGACAGTCTTAACCTGGTGTTGAAAAGATGCTGAAGTTGGCCCTGTGTAGACCTCAGTGGAGAGATCATTCCACAAATGAGGGGCTACGATGCTGGAGGCCTCTCTGTTGTTAGAATATTGGAACATAAGAAAAGCCATGCTGGACCAGACCAAGGTGGCAGACCAGCTGCCCACAGGATCCCTCAGGCAAGGTGGCTGCAGGACCTCCTCCTGGCCAAGCTCCTCAGCAACTGGCATGTGCAGGCAGGCTAGCTCTGTTAAAAGAGGTAGCACATAGCCAGCAGGGCTAGCAGCCACTGATAGTCTCTTCCTCCTCCATGAATTTGTCCATTCCACTTTTAAAGCCATCCAGACTGGTGGCCATCCCCACTTCCTGTGGCAGTGGATTTCACAACCATACATTGCGTGAAGGAGTCCTTCCTTTCCCCTGCCCTAAACCTCCCGCAAATAAGCTTCATGGGATGATCCCAGGTCCTGGTGTTATGGGAAGGGAGAAAAACATCTCCCTCTCCTCTCTTTCCACCCCACGCATTATTTTTACCACCTCTATCATGTCTCTTCTCTAGGCTTCCCTGTGCCTTTCCCCCAGCTAAACAGCTCCAGTTGCTGCAGTTGCTCTTCACAGGGGAGCTGTTCTAGCCCCTTGACCACTTTCACTGCCCTTCTCTGTACTTTTTGCAACTCAGTGATGTCCTTTGTCAGGTAAGACAAGCAGAACTGAACATAACATTCTAAGTGTGGCCATAGCAAACTTTGATAGAAGGTGATCAGATATTGGCAGTCCTATTCTCTGTTCCATTCCTAATGATGCCTAGCAAGGAGTTTGCCTTTTTCTCAGCAACTGTGCACTGAGATGTCATTTCCATTGAGCTGCCCACCACTCCCTCAAGGTCCCTTTCTTGTTTTGTCTCTGCCAGCTCCGATCCCATCAGTGTATCCTGGAAGTTGAGATTTTTTGCCCAAATGTCCATTTCTTTACACTTGCTTCCATCAAACTGCATATGTCATTTTGATGCCTGTTATCCCAGCTTGGAGAGATCCCTCTGGAGCTCCTCAAAGCCCCCTCAACTAATTATTGTGGAGAGAAAGGGGACCTAAACATGCAGCTGGTGTTTTCTGCAACAGCCACGTGTTTGGAGCAATGTCTGATTTTTCTCACGCTGCACTTCCTTCCTTTGTTTTGAGGACCTGCTCTTATCTGCTCTTATCAGGTTCAGATAAGAGCTGTTCACGCTGAAAACACTCCTTCCTGTTAATACACAAAGATATGTTTGTACAAGAACAGCTCTATTTTCTGGAGGACTCTTGTGAAATTACCCAAGAATGGCAAACTACTGCCTTGGTCAAAGGATAGCTGGTGAGAACATCAAAAAGCTGTTCAGTTTCCACACCATGGAACTCCCTCCTGGAATTCAGGTTTCCTCCTCTAGGGACCACAGCTGCTTAATATGAGGAACAGGGGGAAATCCAGTTCCAGCAAATACGGAAAACTCTAAGAGAAAATAGCAATACTCTCATAAATCCACATGACTTCAAAAAATATCAGATTTAAATGACTCAGAAGTCCTTGTGGGCTACATTGCAGTGCCACAGGAAAAGGAGGAGAACTAAAAGCAAAAGGAGTGTGGACAAAAATACAACACCAGCATATTTTAGCTTAAAGCTCTTACTGCCAGTAACCAAGCCTTAAAATGGGCATTTCAATCTTTTGGAATGGGGAAGGAACCACAGAAAAGACACCACAGCCACCACAAATGTCTGGGGGGCAATGCAGTGGGGGTAGGATAAAGGTGCTCCTAGATCGCCCCCACCCCCCAGGCTTAGGTCCCTATCTCACCCACCTCTGATCTTCTGATTTGACCATTCTGAATTTATTAGATTTTTTTTACCCCACCCATTAGCTTTAGGGCTCCCTGTTTTCATCTCAATGTCTTTAAGACTGAGACATTCAATCTTAGACAAGCAGGAAAAGTTTCAGAGAATGAGGATAATTTGGATGATTTGGGATTTGCAAACAAAGCCCTGGGAAGAAAGATTGAAAGAACTGGGAATGCTTTGCTTGGAGAAGACAAAACTGAGAGGAGTTATGATTAGGTGAACCTATGATCAGTTGCATGCAAGAATAGAAGATGCGTTGCAGGAATTCACATACTGCACGCAAAAGAGTTGAAATAGTAGGCTTTTCCAGGGAAGAATTAGTGCTTGACATATACTTCCTTGCTGTCTTTTTCTTATTAGCTTTAATAGTTACCCAGATTGAAAAGAATTAGTAGTAATACTGGATGAACTCTTAAACTGTCAGAAGGAAAAAGAAAACACTAGCAACTTGAAAAGGATAGATTAGTTTCTTTTGAAATATGCCTTGAACTGCTCATATGTGAACATACCTTTCCGGACAACATACACTTCTGAACTTAAAGGAATGTATTTCAAAATTATCTTTATTCTAAAATAAATTTTTCTATGTCCAGCCATGAACTAGTCAAGGTAGAAGGCTCTGCCTACAAATTTTGAACCCAGCCTGACCAAATTGCTTTCCATGATTTTTACTGCTTAACAAAGCCAGGCCCCGGCTCACAAGGAATCCTGACCTTCAGTCAGGCAATCCTAACTCTGTGCTGGGAGTCAGTTCCGTCACATCTCTGCAGGATCCCAAACTCAAGTTTAGGGAATAATCCATGGAAAGAGTGGTGGCATGAACATACGACAAATTCTGCTTTGAAAATGTGGTTTATTTTAAATCTGGAATACACACAGGCTTCAAAAGGAATAAAATAGCCCAAAGGCAATAAGAACCAGCCTCACTGTCAGAACTGGAGTCTATTTATTAAATAGAGATCTGTATATTTTATTAAAATAGGAATATATAAGGAGATAGTAACACACCCAAGAGAACAACTGAACAGTTGCCCCTTCTGCATAAAAAGGTAAATGGTGACACAAGGAAAGAGTAGCTGTAGTTGGTGGGGGATGACTTAGAACAGGTAAGCATCCAGATGTCCTCCAGATGTTTTGGACTAAGACTTCCACAAACTCCAGACAGAATGGCCAAAGATAAGGGATTACAGATGCTGCAGTTGAAAATATCTGGCAGGCACCGGCTTGCATCACAATGAAGCTAGTCTCCTGCATAAATTTAGTTTGTATAAATTTGGGAGTCAGCGTGGCAGTGGCTAGAATGTTTGAACTGAACTCAGGTTCTAGTCTCCACTCAGCCAGGAAACTTACTAGGTGATTTTGGGCCAGTCATTGCCTCTCCTTGAGGATAAAGTGGAGATGAGGGGAAACCTGTAAGCCCCTTGGGTTTCTTGCAAGAGCAAAAGAAGCAGGCAATAATTGCAAATTTTTATCACTGACTGGCTCCTGCTTACAGCATCTGATTCACTCGACTGTGGCTAAGGACTGACAATCCCTCCATTTTATCACTTGTGTTACCGATCCAATACAAACCCCATTCACCAACTGCAGCTCCTATTTATTGTATTCCAAACCCCATCCATACTTGTTTCCACTTTGCTTTAGGACTGTCACTTCAGAAAGAGCACCAGCAAGCTCTTGCGCACTGTAATTGCCATTCTTCAGGCTTCAGCCCCTTCTCTGTCCAGGCAAGACGGGAAACCTTTGCACACAGCAGTGTGGGAGCATCAATACTGTTAGCGTGTGGCATACAGACCACCCCTTCACTCTGCGGCCGACAAAGCCAGTTTGCGCTATGAACTTTGGTTGCATCTGTAAGGCCATCTGTTAGGGTAAATGATGGGACTGGGGATCCTCAGGCACTGAATTTGGTGGGAGAAAACGCTCACAGAAGGGCTTGTTTTCCATTTGTGAGCTGGCAGAGCACAGAATCCCCGATTATGAATTCCACAGGATCCTAAAACTCCTGCCACTGGCTCTGATGCTTTTTCACAGGGGCCAACGAGAGTCACCCTTGTCTACATGGCGAGCTATCCGAGTGTCGTCGTCACCCCTCCCCCCGCTGTGCAGTTTCCTGCATGCATCTGGATGCCAACTGTCCTTTCACAAACAGCAAGCTGTATCCAATGCAGGAAAGGGCAAGTGTTGTTGCAGCATGTTCTCCTATCAGTCTATTTCCAATAATATTCTCCCAAATACATCCTTGGAAAGAAAAGCGTCTATTGAGTGTGTGTATATAGATAGGCAGGCCGCGAAGTAGGCAGACAGATTGAGTATAATCCTCAGCATGCGAGTGCTACTGCGAGTTATCAGGTTGGCAGCCCAGACGGCTGAGCAGCAAAGCAGCAGGGAACCCACCCCCCTCCATCCCCTGGGCTCCAACAAACAGCCACTTACCTGCCACGCTAAGGAGAGACTACCAAGAGAGTCACGGGCTTTAGCACGACTCCACTGCACACAGCCCCATCGTAGTACCAAAGGTGGGCAATTCTTTCCTCTGCCAGCTGAAACAATAATGCTCCTCCGGGGAGCAGGACTGGGAATGCCCAGTGCCGGATCATACAGAACCAGGCATACGGTGCAGGCATCAAGCGATGGCGACAGCCAAAAGGGCTTGCTACAGGCCAGGGTGCTTGCCCAGTGACAGCTGCCGAGCAAGTTCAGTAGGATTCCTTCTACTGAGTTTGGGCCATTACTGGGCCAGCATTCTCAGCCCAACTCTCACTGCCAGAGGGAATTCCTGGTGCTTTTGAACATGTGCAGAGTGCCTCTCTTCACCACTGAGGAGTCATCAACCACCCTCCCCCCCTTCAGTCTGAGAAGAGGAAGGGCTCACAGGGTAGAGGAGGCCATTTCCAGAGAGAATCCAGAGGCAGCCCCTCTCATTTCGGAAGCCAAGGACAGTGTCCGAAGATAAACCAGATCAAAACTGGGGAGGGGGCTTTTCCACTTTAGACAGCCTTCAAAAGTCTTCCAAATCTACTGATTTACTCCTTATGGTACCCAAACTCAACCATTTGGGGGCAAAGTTAATCTTACCAACGAAGCCCCACTACCCCTCGATTTTTTACAATGCCAACTTTACACAAGGCTGAGGAGTCCAGCTTGCCAGAAGGTTCAGGATCGCCCTGGCTCTGAGGCAAAGGCAGCAAGGCAAGTGATGGCTTGAGCAGGTGAAGCGGTCAAAGAGGAGCCAGCCAGGGCAGGGCGGGAACACGTCGTGCAGGCTACTTGGTGAACGGCACGCTGCAACAAAGCCAGCCGAAGAGTCCGTGCAGAGGAGAGGCCCATCCAGGAGAACTGCTCACTGGAACAGGTTCCAGACTGGTGCCGCCCAGATGTGTTGCCACATGCTCACCGAGGTCATCCAACATATCTGGAGGGCACCAGGTTGGGGGGGCTGCCCTGGAGGCCTCTCCGCAGTTTGGGGGTGGGTGGAACAAGAACAGTGACACAGCTGTGGGCAACATTCAGTGATGCGCTTTCCCCATGCTGGCGCTGTGACTGGGGCTACAAGGCAAGAGTTTTGGCCTAGAATCAATGCCTGCCTTTACAGGGTGAGGTATAGGATCTGCATTATGCAACTAAAAGCCAAACCTGAGCAATAAACAGAATCAAAAGCAGTCTTTATGATTTAGCCTTCCTTGGCTGACTCTTTCAGGCTCCCCAGGACAAGAGCTGCCTGGGAAACGCTGGAAGAATGTCCACTTTGCAGCTATCAAGCAAGGCCATTGTGTGGTGCTGGCATTTGGAGAACAACCCGTGCCCTCCCCCCCCCCACATACCCACCCCAGTAGCTGCTGGAGCTAGCAGCTGGGTGGCTGAGTTCACATCACTCTCTGTTGTGCAGAAATGCCCAGCTCCGTTTTCTGTTTCAGAGCAGCAAAGCAAGTCATGAGCCCAGGGGCCTGCCGAGGTCTCAGGACCTGCGTACGCAAATCTTTTACATATACTTGATAGATACATGTATACGCTTATTTATACTGGCTGTGGAATGCATAGAGAAAAAGGAGTTCAGAGGTGGTGGGCCCTTGGGAGGGCCCTGAGCAATCTACATCGGGTAGGCACTGTCCAGAGTGCAGCAAGTCATCCGAAGGGGAGCATCTGTGCTTCTGATCGCTTCAGTTTTTATCAGGCAGTTTCCAGCAAGCCCTCTCTGTGCCTAGTGGAGTATTTGGAGGGTGCCAGCCTTGTGGAGTGCCAGTCTCCAATTACATTTCACTGCAGTAGAACCCCAATTTAGCCATGGACATTTCCTTTCTGAGCCGCATAATCTCCCAGTACATCAATTCCACTGCAAGGCAAACAGAGAGAAAGAGAGGGAAGCAAGTGAGAGACCTCACGTTGCAAACAACAAAAGCAGCAGTCCAGGCAAGCTGGCTGGCTCCACATCAGCCTCCCCCAATGTGTGCCTCCTCGTGTTTTGAACTACAACTCCCATCACCCTCAGCCAACAAGGTCAATACTCGGGGTGATGGGGGCTGTAGTCCAAGAAGATCTGGAGGACGTCCACTTGGAAAAAAGATGCTCACCATCCTCCCTTTGCATTGCATAATCCAATGGGAATTCTTCAACCTGAACGTTTGGCCTTGCTGCAAATGTGTGTGGCACAACACACAAGCCAACAGTGTTCATCGCCCTGAAAACATCCCAGTGGCAAAGCATGTTGGCGGTGGCAACACAATGTAGGAATTTTCCTTGGCAGACCAGGCAGACCGTTGGCAACACAATGTAGGAATTTTCCTTGGCAGACCAGGGCAAGATGTACAGAGCCAAATACGGGGGAATTCTAGAGGAAGACCCTCAGTCTGCAAGGGACCTGGGACAGGGGCTGGGTGGATTCACCTTCTAGCAGGACAGTGACCTAAACAAAGGCCCAAATTGACACTGGAGTGCTTTAAGAACAAGAACCCAATTGTCTTAGACTGTCCCAGTTGAAGTCCAGACCTCAGTGCAACTGAGAAACAGCAGCAGGATTTGGAAGCTGCTGCCCAGCAGCTGTACCCACCCAACCTGACAGAGCTGGAGCAGCTTTGACTGAATGAGGGGACAAACAATGCAGGACTCAGAAGTCTCTATTGCAAGGCCGGAAGAGGCTTCCCCAAGGAGTCTCACAGCTGCAATTACTGCCCAAGGTGCTTCCACCATGTATCGCTCAGGAGCGTGAATCCTCATGCAACCAGAAAGTTTACTTGTGCCACAATAAAGCTATTTTGCACCTTCAGTGTGTGGAATATTTTGTGTATAATCAAGGGATCGCATTGCCAATTCATCCCTTTCAATTCCAAGCTGTAACACAACATAATGTAGACAAGTCAAGGAGGTGGGGGGCAAACATTTCTGCAAAGCACTGGAATTCCTGCTCTGATTCAGCAGCCCTCCTCTACAAGCAGAGGGTTGGTTTTGCAGTCTTTTGAACTTGCTAATGGAAAGCAGCTGTGCTGCCACGTGGGAAAAGCAGAAAGCCAGTGGATTATTTACCATCCTGTCTCACCAGTCCCTGCTGGATGTAGCGAATATAAGTGAAGAAGTTGCATACTGCCGTAATCTGAAATACAGTGATACATTATTTACATATGCACAAAAAAGGGTTATAAATTAATATTTAAAATACATGTATGCCGATGTGTGTGCATTTCATATTTACAGAGCCTTTTCAATGCCCAGACTCAACAAAGGGAGGGTGAGGGAGAGAGAGAACACAGTTAAACAAGAAGCTGCATGACAGAAGTGTCTCTTGGCCTGCTGCCCACTTCCAGTAACATACAAGGGTAACAGAGGCCACTCAAGAGAACGGGACTAAGACAGCTTCAAAATATTTCTGGTTTTTGGTCTTTGTGCTGCTTTGGTGCACTCCAAGAGAAGAACACCCTGTTCCAAGGGCTTGCATTTTATGCAAATATTCAAATGAATAATGTTAATAAAATTTGGGGGATGTGGGATTGACAAGGAAGATGAGTATCTCCTCAGGAAAAATGCAGACTTCCACTGAAAGCAGAACAGAATGCAAGATTAAAGGAGCAATGTATTTCATTCTTTGCAACCAAATAATGAATACCTCAAACATGTAAGGGGATACTAGGCATGCCCAATTTCTCTCCCGGAAAACTCGGGTGGGGAATGCCAACAGACACAGAGCAAAGGGGGTCACCGGGAAACAAGTGGGAGGTACCAGGAAACTTGGGGGAACCTCGGGGTTGGCTGAAGAGTTTGTGTGAGTGTGTGTGCACATGTGTAAAAACCTAGTGGGACAAGCAACCCCAAAAGCACCAAACATGCTCAGTCATCATAGAAGGTTTTCAGCTGAGTAACAGAAAATGGAGGGAGGACTGGTACAATTCCTTGCCTGAGCTCTAAGGTATGCCCCAGATGTTCAGACCATAACACCCATAATTCTCAACCAGCATGGCTCACGCTTGGGGCTTACGGGAGCTGAGCCATCTAGTGGGCTGTCAATTTGGGAAAACCTCCTGGGAAAGGGTGTGACTGGCAGGAAGGCACCCGACATAGGAGCACCCCTTTTCCATTCTATCATTGTTTTCTGCTTTATGTAGTTTTAACATTCAGTGGTACATTTCAACTGTTTATCCATATCCCCTGGAGATCCATTTTTTGATGAAGGCATGGCTTCCATTTTACATTCTTAATCATTAACTAAATACAGACTGCAACATTTTGTTGCAGATCCCACCAATATAACATTTAAGACCTTCTTTACTTACCTATTGTTTTCTAACCCCTTGCCTAGAAAAGGCTCATGCCCCAGTCCACGTACCCATCCTCCAGATGCCACAGGGCACCTTGTTGTTAGAGGAAAGGTGCATACGGGCACCGGGCACTGCAGCCCCAGGGCTCCATGCTCTGCCCCAGATGGAAGGCAACCAGGCCAACCAGTCCCCAGCACAAGCATGTGACTTCCAGAGGAACCTGCTGAGGAGCAGGCAGTTTCACCTACAGCCCATTACTTCTGCCCTTCTGGCAATGTTCTCCCGGTTTCTGGAGACTTACCCTGGCCCTGCAGGAAGGTGAAATGTAGTAATAATTCCCAGAATCCCCCAGTTTGATACGATGCCTGCAAGCTCGAGACAGGCCACTCAGGGCACATTTCCTGCAAGAGGGGAGGCAAGAGCGGAGAAAGCAAAGCCACATGTCATTGGACGACACTCCTCAAGAAGAGAGGATGAAACAGAGCTATTGTGGGCCAAACCAGGAGCACAAGTCTTCACCTCCACATGTGCTTCTTTTTTAAAGAAAGGTGATATTCTGAAGAATTTGCAGATATATATACTTTCACACTTGTTCTTCAAGATATGCCACAGGCTGGGATTTAACCTCTTTTGCTTATGCGTTGCACCATGTGGATTATCTCTAGACATAATGCTAAGTATACTTATCAGGGAAGAATTCCCACTGAATTCAGGAGGACTTACATCCGAGTAATCTTGCTGAGATGATGTGAAAGTATTCCAGGCCACCTGCAGGCCGTTCAAGTTTCCTGCGCTCAAGATCTGAATCTAGAAAGTGTTAGTGAAGCATTAGCTTTTGTCTGGGAACCAACTGGCCACTCTAAAAGCCATGGAAACTTAAGGTACTAGAAGAATATCGAACATGGTTAGCCACAGAGGCCCCTCCAGGCTTTTCCCTCCAGCACTGCAGAAAGTCAGGCCAACCAAGGTTTATAGATTATGCCTTCCGTAGGGAAACCATTAGGGGTTTTAAAAAAGTTACTTGCTAGCCCCAACTTCAAAGCCATTAGTAACTAGCTAAGTTAGTAACTTATTAGTGGAGCAAACATCCTTTCATCACTGGCTTAAAAGAAATAACTTACGTTACAATTGGGGACCGGAACCCACTGCGAGAAGAAACAAGAGCAGGAAAGCAAAATCAGGATTCATTATTCTTGGCATGGGGCTGGAATGCATGTAGAAAGCATGACCGATACTGAGCAGAAATTTAGCTGCCATCCTATATCCACTTACCTGGGATAAGCCAAACCAAACTGAAATCAATGAAGCTTACTTTTGAGAGTTACCTATACACTGTCTAGGTATAGGACTGCGCAGTTATCAACCTTTTCTCTTTCTGTTTTTTAAAAGGGGTGGGGAATCTACATGTTTTCAGCCATACATGGGGTTTGTCAGAGAGGAAGGCCAGAGCCTGCCCTGCAGACTGGCATGGGGGGGCAAGTGAGAGGGAAGAGGCCCACAAAATCAGTGATGCAACACAGGACAAGCTCCTCCAGTACCAAAAAGAAAGGGGGTTTCATGATTATTAATTATTTTATTATTTTTTGATTATTAATGATTACTAAAATGAGCTTGTAAATAGAATTGTCTTTATTTTTATCCTTTTAAAAAAGCAATGAATATAATATTTTTTTCCTGGCATATAAGATGACCCTTGATCTTTGCTGCACTGTTTCTGGTTTCAAGGGTCATCTTACACGCCAGTATATATGGTAGTTTGCAGCAAACAACTGCAACAGAAAAGTCCACAAGAGGGTTGAGTGCTTGTTGCGACCTCTTCCTCCAAAGAAGCAGGATTTGTGGATTACTGAAGGCCTCAAAAGCAGAAAGACAGGGTGTCGTTTCAAAATGTCAGAACCACAGCAAGGTAGCTTTAGGGATTAATAGATGGGGAAAATAGATTTTGATCTGAAAAGTGGGGTGGATTAGCTTTGCTCCACAAGAGCACATCTCTGAAAAGTTCTCAGTATGCTAGAACAGGACTGCCAAATGGTCTAAAGGAAACAATGTGCATAATCTATAAACTGATGAAATAGGCCTGCACAGGAACTGCTCTCATATTCTCACTGCCGGCTAACACTCAGCAGCACAAGCATCTCACAGTGCCTGCTGACTTAGAAGTAAGTTCCATCAGGCTCTATCAAGCCCTCACATAGGCAGGTATAGGACTGCAGTATAAAAGGCCTTTCCAACCTATATTTGTATTGCAGCTTTCCTAAAGACAAGCTAGGCAAAATGGTGCCCTCTGGATTTCTGGACTACAACTCCCATATGCTCAAGTTGGCATGGCCAATGGCCAAGGTTATGGGAGCTGTTGTCCAGAATATCGGGAGAGCACTAGGTTGCCTGTCCCTGGCTTAGGCCAAACTAAAACATCCTCAGCCTTCTGAAGCTGAACTAGTGAGAGCAGAGAGCGTCCTCCATGGAGGCACCATCCTTTCCCACTCCCAGCAGGTTAACTTATCTTCATGGCCAACACATTGACTTAGTTCCGATCAGATCTTCATTTTGTGCCGTCCTCCAGATTTTGCCTCCTCCCCATTCCCATTCTTTCCGTAGTTATTGGTGACTTCCCTTGGTTTCTTCCATTTTGTTTAGTGGGCTGCACAGTACCAGCTGAAAGAAAAACTAGAAAACAAATAAAACAGTGAACAGAAGGACTGGCCTCAGAAAGCCAACTGCTACTGTAGCAGTGAACGGGAGGCATCCTGGAGCACAACAGTTCTGTTTCTTTGCAGCTGGGACTGTGCCACTCACCGAACAAAATGGCGCTTCTGTGCTTCTTCAGAGGCCAGGAGAAGGGGGAGGCACAGAAGCCGCTGCTCGGCCCTTACTTTGGTCCGCCGCATTCCATGGCTGACACCTTCACCACAGGCAGCGCCTGGGTAGCCACTGGCTCAATGGTAAGCGTGTTCTGCTCCACGGCTGCCTGAACCAGCTCCGAGAGCTGCAGCAAAGGAAACAGACAAGGAATTCACGTCACCAAGGCAAAATGCCAAGGAGAGAACAGCTGTTAGAGGCGGAACATCATGTCTTTGAAGCTTTAGCACAGGCTCTTTCCAAATCTCACCTCATGCTTGGTGAAGTCCAGACAAGGCCCCACATCTTCTTGGTAAATTCTCTCAAGGAAAGAACAGGATTTGTCCAAAGTTGGGGACTCCTTCCAAGCCTGGAATTCTGCAAACAAAATGGAATCCACCTGCAGCACAATGGGATGGAGGTAGCGGAAAGAAAAAGGAAAGGAAAACCCAGTGAAGGCAGCAGGAGGTTCCCTCAGAATAAGCACTCTCTTCATTTTTTGGTGTGCAACCTGTGAGGTGACCAAACAGAGTAGGTGGGACCTGTGGGCCAACCAGCTGACTCTACTGCCTTGGAGTCAGACAATCTCCAGATGTATACAGGCAGAAGAAAAAGTCATGGCAGGGAGAAAGGCATCCGATGACACTGCACCAAATTCATTTAAACAAAGCCACCTTGAGTCATTAACCTGTGCAATGCCCAGGCTAGTAGGAATCCACATGCTGCAGTGCATGAGAAAAACTGATTCCTTCTACCACTGAATCTCAAATGGAAGACAGAAACACAACAGCCAGGAATGCATGAACTCCACTGCCATCCCGGGAAAAGAAAGCACCAGTCCATTGTGAGCCCAATTCCCACCTTCTTCCACCAGAGAGAGTCCACTTCCCATCCCAGCAAAGAGTCCCTTCACCAGAGTTCAGAAAAGGACATTCAATAGAGACACATGAATATCCAGAGAGCTGATCTCGTGCCCAAGTTCCAGAACAATCCACAGCTGAAGCATTCTAAATTTCAAGGTGTCTGGGTTTTGGAAGACATGCTGGGATGGAAAAGCAGGATGCAAGCGGTGCCTTGTCCCCCACACTGCCCCCGAAGGCCTTTTATGGGGCATTTCAACAGGGCAAGCCACTACAGGGAGCAAGTTCACAAGAGCAGACATCCACAGTTTGCATTTGCAGAGGGACAGAGAAAACACCCTTGCTTGTTTTTTGTGGAGGAGCCATGAAGGACATGGGAAGGGCCCTGCTGGATCAGCCCAAGCATCCCTCTGGTCCAGCATTCTGGGCACATGGTGACTGCCCAGCTACCTGCAGGAAACGCTCATGCAGGACATGACTGCAGCAGCACTTCCCACCATGTTTCTCGGCAGCTGGTGTGCTCAGCCACACTGCCCTGATGCTGAAGGCAGCGCAGAGCTGTTAAGACCAGGAGTCATCGACAACGTTGTTCTGCATGAATGTATCTAAGCCCCCTTTAAAGCTACCCACATTGGTGGCTTTATCACTACTTCCTGTGGCAGTGAATGCCACAGTCGGCTTGGCGTCAGTGGAATCAGTGAAAGGTATTTCAACCTGCTTGGAACTATGCAGAAAAAACAGGCAACTGATAGCAGCCATTGCAATGCCTTGTCAAAAATGATGGCTCTCTGTGTTTTCTTCCTTCCTTTCTGGTTTCTGAGTTTCACCTTCACTCTGTAGATTGATGACCCTTTCAAAATTACAGTCGAATGCCACAATCTACATTATTTCTCTTCAGAAATAAGATACCAGCCTGCTTCTCCCAACCACACCCAGCATTTCTAAAAAAAAAAAAAACCTGGCAAAATCCTAGAATATACAGCACATTTATTGACGGTAGTGGCCAAACTCCACTGTATCCAGGTGCATCTTTCAAAATGAGACAGGTAACAGGCTACAAAATTGAATATTTAAGAAGGGCATTCACTCCACTCCTGCTTCCACCATATCGAAGAAAAAGAACAAAGCATGGACACACACACACACACAGGTGTGAAGGACTGCAACAATGAAGGGAGCTGCTCAGCCCCAAGGGGAAAGTCTGAACTGGCAGGATATGAGGGCTACGCTACAGAGGCTGCTCACCTGATACAGGAGACAACTTCAGAGTCTCAATATGGGAAACAGAAACAATTAGAGAAACAAGAACAAAAGATGGGTGTTAGTATTAAGCGAAGAACTGAAAGGTGGGAGGTGTAAGAGGCTAGGGCATCCAACCCTCGCTGCCTTTCCCCAGCCTTGGTCCCCCAGCAACGCCTCGGAGGAACCAGTGTGAAGGTGGAGCGGCCCCTCGGTGGCGCTGCAGAGGAGGCTTTGCCTCATGCCAGCACGAGCTGCCAGAGCAGTCCCTTCCACGCTGCTCTCTCAGGGTGTGCCAGTCCTGCCCTGGCAGGCCCTGGGCCACCCTGCTGCCACCCCAACCTGAGGGAGATTACCTGCTGCAAGAGAGAAGAGGAGAGAGAAGAGTCTGCTGCCAGGGACTGCCAGCCTGGCTCATAGGTGATGTGGACGGCCTTCGCAGGGACGATACAGAGAAGCAGGGAGAGGAGGGTGGGCACCCCAGACTTTGAGGAAGGGGAGGGTCAGACCGATAGGAGAGGGGCAGAGGGGAGGGAGAGGGAGAGTGAGAGACAGAAAAGACAAGGAGAGAAAGCAAACTGGTGTGAGAGGGAAGGAAGGTTTGGAAGAGAAAGACTTTGTTCGCAGAGGGCACAGAGCCCTTCCCAATACACTTTATCAGGGCGGCCTTGGCCTATAAGGGAATCCTGCAGGCGCTTGCTTGCGCTTCTGGACGAGCTCCTCTCGCCTGCGCTCGTAGCCTGCGTGCTGATCATTTCATCAGCCGGGTCCACACCCCTAAGTGCCCTGTTGCCACTGCGGCCCGCCTCAGGTGAGGAAAAGAAGCCCCACTGGCTGCTACAGTGCTAGCAGGATTCTCAGTTACCCACCTGGCTCAGCATGCTGTGTGCGCCCAGCAAGGGTGGGCTTGTTGTCGTGGTTAACAAGTGCCTCAGAAACCACGGGCTTCTCTCCCCATCCATGACTGTGTGAACCGTGGGCTGGGCTCAGGCAGCCAAAGAAACCAGCACACCGGAGCACCTCGTGCAGTGGGGCCAGCCGGTGCAAGGTAGCTTTTCCCTCAGGCCTCTGATCTCGTCCCACCCCACAGATGTGCAGGATGCTGGGGGTGGCCCAGCGCCACCCATCCCAAGGCATCCCGCTGCGGGGCTGCCCTTGAGCTTCACCCACCTCTTTGAACTCGCTGCTGACCGGCTCCACGGGCGAATTGGGGCTCGTGGCCGTGGCTGCGCCGGGGCTGCTGGTGCTCTTGTTGCGCCCATGCCCTTTCCTGAAGACTGCTTTGGTGGGACTCTGGAGCTGGGGGTGCAGCTCTCGGTTCGGGGAGGAAGGAGTTGATGTGATCACCAGGGTCTTCAAGGCCGTCACCTCTGCCTGCAGCATGTCAATCTGGAGGGCGGATGCAAGGAGGAGTCACCAGGGAGGCCGCCCGTTTCCAGCCCAAGGGGCACTCCCTCGCCAAAGAAGCTCTCGGGAAGGTCAAATGCCGGCCTGTGTTACCTCCCGGCTCCTTCCGCCGGTAGCAAAAGCCTTGGGAGATGGAATTCAAACTGCGGAGCCAGGAAGTCACCAGAGAAATGGTGGGCAGGAGGAAGGGATGTGGCTACCTGGGGAATCCCAGAGAACCAGACTGGGCTCCCAGGAGAGTCAGATTCAGTAGCTGTGCTTTTTTTCCTTTTTTTAAAGATTTATATAAAATAGTTGTGATGCCAGTTTTAACCACCAGGAGAGCCTTTGTGCTATTGGGGCAGTATAGAAATGGGTTAAATTAACAACAGCATATTAAAACTGATTTAATAATATAATGATTTTAATATAATATAATTAAAACTGGTGGCAGGAAAGATAAAAGGTGGCAGGAAAGATAAAAGCCATACAAAACAGGGCCAATAAAAAATAATTAATGTGAATTCTTTTATATTGTTATTTATTTTATATTGTTATTTTTATATTGTTACTATTGTATTTTTCTTCATGTTGTGAGCCGCCCCAAGGCTTCGGCGAATGGGGCGGCATATACATGTTTTAATAAATAATAAATAAATAAATAAATTCTGCAAAAGTTCCAGAAAAACAACAAAAGCCTCCCGCATGAAAGGATCTCTGCAGTTGTGGTACTGAAAACAAACTGCTTGGCCAAGTGTGAGCTGAGCAGCAAGCTGTTCCTTGATTCTCCGTCTGCTTCCCAGACTAAAATTTGCTCAGCCCCGATTGATGCAAAGCAGCCTGTTTTAACCTTGCACAGACATCCCGGCCCAAGTTGCATGCTGTGGCTTCCCCCTGGATTGAAATGTTTATGATCAATTTAGAAGTTTCCATTAAGGTGAAACATCTGAGGAATTTCAAGTGAACCAGATTTTGTTTTAATGTATAAAGCTACTAGAAGGCCTGCCCATCTCACTCTGGATCACAGAGAAAATATGAAAGCAGCTGTTGTTAGTCAAATTGCAGGCCTGCTGTTTCCAACCACCCTTCAACAGCGCTGCCTGTCTTGCGAGAGGAGTCCAGGACTAATCATGAAACTTGCATGCAATTGATACATCTGGGATCCAGAACAAGCACAAATTTTTTCCTCCAGCACAAATTCAATGTACCGCTAGAATGGAATTCTGAAGGAAGCAAAATTCATTTAAGCCAGGCCAGAACAATTTATCAGGAAGATACTCCAATAAGTCAGTTCCAGGTCCATCACAGCAGAGCTGGTGTGATCTTGTCCCCCACCCTCCCCTTCATTCCCCAACAGGGAAGGTTAAAATGCCAAATAAACACCCCTCGAATGTAACTGTTCCTATGAATATGATTGAATAACTGAGTGAATACATCCAAAGGTTCATTGTATGAAGTGACCGAAAGCCTTCTAGGTGCTTTACTTCTGCCTTGTCAACAGATGGCGCTGCTGCCTTATCACTCCTGGATCCTTGTTATATTCTGGACCACTAGAAATCCATAGTGATGCATGGAAATTTGGATTCAGCTTGCGAATCAAACTTGCCTCACTCACAATCTCAAGCACAAACATATTTTTTTTCTCTGGAAAAAGTCTGCAAATTCCCTAAGTTGGAATCATACTGAAAATGCACACATTAGCCACATACATTTTTAAGACATTTTCATGCATTAGACAATGGAGGAAAGGGCATGCACAAAAAATGCACATGTTTCCCATTCAAATGGAAGGAAAAACAAGTTGCAAATGAGAACTGGAGTGAGACAAACCCAGTGGAGTTCAGAGACTCTCACCAATTCGAGCAGTTCTGGGACTCCCTCAACTAACTACAGATCCCCTTCAGAAACCCTTGAGTGTTTGGATATCTGAGTTCTAGATAAGCTGGTCTTAATTTTAAAATTAAGAAAAGAATCCATAAACTTTTGTTTGGGCTAGGAATGACTAATCTTTCACATAACCTTCGTACACAAACTGGTCAGGCAAGACTGTCCAAATCCCTCAAAGGCTGTCACATGGGGGGGACAAAATAGGCCTTCTCTGCAGCTCCAGCGGGCAGGACTGGAACTAATGGGCTGACATGACAGGAAACTAGCGTAGCATATTGAGCAGGCATTGGCCATGATGGCACGCAAAAGTTCCTCCAACTCTGTAACTCTCTGAGACCATCTACCACCTCAGTCACTCGTTGCACACTTCGTGAACGCAGGCACAGTTAGGAGGATGGTCCAAAGTTTAAGACAGGGATCAGCCATGCTTGTAACTTCACTGCTGTGTCTATTTTACATCTTATTATTAACCCTGAGATAGAACCTTCTTTTCTAAAAAGCCATCTAGGAGTTGTCCTACAATTTGAAACCAAAAAACCTGCCGACAGTTTAAAACAAATATCCCAATAATGTTAAAGGATTTAAACCATTTCATTTCATTAAAGTCACAGTTAAAAAGATGCATCTTCACAGTTTTTCAGAAAGCCAAGAGAGGAAGGGCCATTTGCAGCTCTTGGGGGGGATGTTCCACAGGCTGGAGGTGCCACAGGGGAGCCAATCTGATTTAGCAAATGGGCAAACCTGATTCCTGATTGGAATGAAGACACCAAGACACCAAGGTGCTCCTCTGTCATTGGCCTTGCTGTGTATTTATTCAGTGTCTTCCATCCGTGTTGCACAAAACTGCTTGGAACAGTGATCACGGGCCAAACCAAATTGCTCATGTGATCACACAGAGTTTCCTTTCTTAGCCTTTTGCAGGCATGACTCAGATCAGGACTATCCTTCCCCTACTTTTGTCCTGAAATTCCACCCTCAAGAGCAAGGGACATTAGCAAAGAAAAGAAAGAAAAAAGCTCCATTGGAATCACGTCCTTCTTTGCAGCATTCAGTTTAGAGCTCAGTGGAATAAACAGGAGGGTGGCCAAGGCAGCAGGGTGGGTTTACCAGATTTTGAAGGATCTGCGGTAAGACATGACCATATAGAGAAGGCTCCCATACTGATTTTAAGCCCAAAGTCTAAAATTACCTGTCCATACCACTAGAGCTGACTTGTGAAAGGGCTATACCAGCTTCCCTAAGCTGGTGCCCTCCAGAAGTTTTGGGCCACAACTTCCAGATGTGCCATGCTAGCTAGACAAAACATGTTAGATGTTCCAGTCTGGGTAATGTGCAAGGTTGGACTATAACATAAAGGTGATTGGGACTCACCTTGCCTCGGGCCTCCCTCAGCTGTTTCTCAGATGCTGCCTGTTTGGTGTTGGCCTCCCGCACCATCTTATGGGCTTCCTGCAGCAGAGAGAAATATGCCTGTATACTTAAGAGTCAGACTCTCAAAATGTTATGATAAAATCAATCCAAGCCCCATGCTATCAAAAATGGTACACAGAACCTTTTAAAAAAGAATACAAGTCCACTTACTTAAACTATCCGGTAGGAAAACTTCAAAGTGGTTGTCAGGAACTGTGTGTTACAAAGGTCAGTAGCATTAAGATAAACCATTTTTGGTAGTCTACATGTCTGCCATATGATCTCAGTTCACATTCTTCCACCTTCCCCAGTTCTGTAGCCCCATTCATCTGTGCTGTTAAGATATACTCACTATTTAATACAGAGGTTCAAAAAATTCAGTAGGTTGCTATGTCTCCAAGAGGGTGGACTGGTGGGCCATTGAACACTCCAGCACTTTAAGGAGTGGAACCAAGCTAAATTCTCTAAGCTGAGAGGTCTTTCATGTTTTCTCCATAGATCTTTCTCTTATTTTGGAGGGAGCTCGGCATTTTTCGTAGCCCAAACTCCATCTAGAGTGACTTGTTGCTCCCAAGCAAACAATCCTGCTGGATGTTTTATACATCTTTTATAATTTTCTGGGATGTGATTGTTGCTGTTTAAATGTTAACTGTTCTTTTAAAATATTATTTTTGGAAACCTCCCTGAAAATATGATTGAAGTGTGCTATAACAATTTTTAAACAAATGACCTGTCGATGACCTAGTGCTTGGCTGATGATCCAGTGACCCCCCTCCCATGGTGGGAGATCTAACTTTGGAAATATTACCAAATCATAAGGAGACTCATCAGAACACATCAGGTACAGATGTGCAGTAAAACGGTCCTCTGTAATCACCCAGAGTCTCCAGTAGAGGACAACACCACAACAACTGAGCTCTCCGAGGCCCAAAGCCAAATCCATCGCAGCTCCCACTAACACAGGGCTGCGGAAAAGCATTCCTACTGCATACGCATCAGCTGGAGGATAGTCAGTCTAATAAAGCATGGAACCCAGCAAAGCAACAAGGCCAAATAACACACCAGCTAGAAGACTATCTCCTAAGGCAGGGGTGGGCAACATGTCACCCTCCCAGTGTTTTGGCCCACAGGCTAAGCTTGTGGGGGATCATCCGTCGCCACTGGCCATGCTTTCGAGAACTGGTGGGAGTTGAAAGACTAAACATCTGGATGGCCACAGGTTTCTTACACTTAAGGAATTAAGTGTAAGGGAAGTGGCAACGGTCACCATGCTAGCTGTGGAAAAATGGTCTTTCTAATAGAGGCGGTTCCTGTCAGAGTTGAGCTATATTAGCACAAGAAATGGGGAACGTGTACTCTCACATTTCAAAAATGTCTTGGACATAGAAAACCATGATGCTGGAAAAGAACTTTGCTGCCAGAAGACATTTAGATAAGAACATCTCTCTAACATTATGGTTTTCTATAAGCAAGGAATTTATTATGGCAAAGCATGAAGCAGAGGATGCCTGTGCCTGCAGTCTGAAGTGGAACGGTCCAACAAGAGCTGTGCCATGCAGTCCTGCTGCCTGTGTAGGCTTGGATCTCCTCAGTCTACCCTAGCATGGTTTCAGGGGGAGAAGGGAGGCATATACAGATGTGCAAACGCACAGTCAATGAGGCTTTATTTACTTGATTCCGAAGGGTGAGTCACATCACGTTTGGGGCTCAGACACATTTTGGGGGTTACATACCTCAAATAAGCTAGCTGTTAACTCCTCTAGTTCCTGCTCCAGCTGTTCTCTGACTTTGGAAAGTCTCTCGCATTCCTCATCTTTCAGTTTCAACTCCTGCACAAGGGGACACACAAGAAAGCGAAAATTGCATTAACAGGGCAAAGCCTATCCATAGGCACTTTTGCACCCGCAGCCTGCAGCTCCGGCCCGTGCGCTCGGCGTGACCCAGTCTAACTGGTGGCAGGCTTCCACAGCCTCAGCAGTTCTGCCCATCCCTTTTAAAAAGCCCCTCACACTTGGCTATTGGTAAGAAACAGCAAAGATGTGAACTGAAAGCACAGCCTCCTGTGCTTGGAAAAAAATGAGCGGAGGGTGCTTGTCGCAAGGCTGCCAAGGACGATCACAGCAGTGCTGAAGTGTGGCCATCGAATACATGTAGGCACGCAAACCGGGTGATGTGTATCACAAAGGGACAGGGGAAAGCTAAGATATGTGCAAGGGGCCAGAGAACCACGTATCAGCCCCTGCTCCAATGTCACAGCACTCCTTTGACCCCCACAGCACTGGGTTCACTGCAGCATCTGAAGCAGGAGGCAGAAGCGTCTGTACCTGCAAGTTAGAGTCTGGCAGAATCAGGGGCTGTTGCCACGTTAGAGGCCTCCACAGGTGCAGGAGGGTCCCTGCAGCAGAGGCTGGGCTGAGCGCAGGGCAAGGAGCAACGTGGCTTTGTGCAGGGAGCTGCATTTGGCTGCCATTCCGCGTACGAAGGCTGGCCAGCCTGGCAGATGACTCTGTCCTTGATGCTAAGGATGGGGCAATGCCTTCCGTTGCACCTAGGAGCAGCCTCTGCTAGCGGAGGGGATGGAAAACGGGCTGCGTGGCCCACTGCTCACTCCTTCCAGCACCTGCTGCCTAAGGCCACTGTTTCACCCTGCCCAGGGGCAGGGTGTGAAGTGGTGGGGAGCACTCTGCTAAATGTGTGGCATGTTGCCTCTTTCACAGTGGACACTCTGTTCACCAGAACAGCACGGGACTAGGGCTTGAAAGATGGCTCAGCTGCTCTTTCGTCAGGACGGTCACCTGAGTGGGATGGTGTGAACTGGTGACCTGCAACAGCAGGGGGTTCTGGGCCCCTTCCAATTCTACATTCTATGATTCATTCCCAGTGGGATCCTGGGATCCTACCCACTTGGTGACCAGCATTTTCGTCAATTCGCCTGAACAAGCTTTGGACAGGACAGAATCAATACAGTGTATCAGAACCTGAAGGCAAGCAGGATCGGCTGGCAAACTGCAATTTTCCTCTTGAAAATCAGCAGTTTCCTGACATTCCTTTTTCAGCAAAAGCAGCAGACCACACAGAGTCACACAGCCACAGATCCCTGGGCATGTGTGCTGCATTCAGCAGCGTATTTACATTTGGGGTTTACATTAGCACTTGTCTGCTATTTTCCTGCCCTCCCTTCTTGGCCAGAACTCTTACCTTCTGAGCTCTGTGGAGCTCTTCCTTCAGGAACTCGGAGCCCTTCTCCCGGATCTCCACAGAGGAGCTGCGCAAGCGAGAGACGTTCAGCTGCGACACGGATTGGTCCTCATCCCCACCTCCCAGGCCCTTGATGGGTGGCTCCGGCTGCTGCAGCTCCTGTCCTCTGCTGGCTGGAGCAAGGGGCTTCCATTGCCCCACCCCTGGCTGCTTTTGGAGCTGTTGCCTGGTCTCTTCAAACTGGGCCTGGCTGTAGGAAAGGGACCCGTGAGCACTGGATTGCCAAAGACGATTAACAGCACGTGGGCAACGCCTTCTCCTTCGTTAAGGCTCGTAACAGGTACAACAAAGGGAAGACAGGAGTGTTTCTACAGGTCTGAAACCAGAGCCTGTGCATGGGGAACACGCGTGAATGAAAGACAGAGTGTCCCCAGCCCTCATTTCATGGGGGAAATGTGAGAAGACAAGACACATGGACAACTTTGACCTATGCAACTTCGGGAAATATCCAGCGTTAGTCCTACTTTTAATTATTGAAATTAATAAGATGCAAGCTACTCATATCTAATTTACATCATGTTCATTTTAATGGCTCGATTCTAAGAGGATTAACTCTGGATACTACCCTCTGTGTTTCTAATTGGTCTTTTGACCTGTGTGATCCTGTACACTCAAGTCCAACATACCTCCCCTTTCATTGCTCTATCCTAAAACCTTTCTTTTGAATCGCTTCTAATTTTTGTTGGGTGCTCCTGTTGAATTTCATATCTCTGGAAGTCTTATTCCAGCGGAATGCAAAATTTAAACTCCAGTGGATCTGAGTTCATACTTTTTGGGGCAGGGTGCTCCCAAAGCGAAGCAGCAAGGGCAGCAGACACTTTTCTGTCCTAATCAGGGAAAGGAGCATCCCAGATGATGACTTCCTTAAAGGACATCAGTAAGATGACCTCTACCTTCCCCTGGGAGGACCATTTCAACTTCATTAAGGACACTGTTAGAAGTGCAGAACATAAGCTTTACGTGCAGCAAGTTCCAGTTTCAGTCCCTGGTATTTCCAGGTAAAAGGTGCAGGAAGCAGATGAAAGGAACAGCCTCTGCACAAGGCACCTGGGCAGTCAGAGCTACTGAGCGCCATTGCCAGCCAGAGCAGCCCAGGATGGGCAGAAGGCAGAGCTCCGTAAGTTTTGGATTTCCACTCGCAGAAGCCCCCGCCAGCACAGTCAATGGTCAGAAATGTTCCATCTTTCCCTCCTCTCGAACAAGGAGTCACTTCACAAAGCATTTGGCATTCTAATACAGATGCCTCCTTCTACCTACCTGTGGAGTGGAGATACTGGACTTGATGGAAAAGAAGTCTGATCTGGGTGATGCACAGGTAAGCCCAAAGGTATGATGAAAACTAGTATCATATAAGAAGTGGAAGAAACCCCAGAATATTCAGGGAATGAATGAGCACCAGGAACCACTTCAAGGAGTGGGCCATGTGCCTTGCAAATGAGTGAGACACTACTGCAGGATGGGGGAAGCAATGTAGAGTGACCGGCAGTAGAAGGCAGCTTCCTATTTTACAAGACATTGCTTAGTTTCCTTTTTTAGGGACCAAGTGATTCTCTCTCTCTCTCTCTCTCTCTCGCACACACATACACACACATGCACTCTTCAAAGTAATTGCCTCTACAATCCCCACACACAGTTTGTAGCAATCAAAATAGTGTTTCCAAAAGAAGAACTAGCGCTGCCATCTCTCTGAGGGAGGATGGCATGGGCTTTGCTTTGAAAATGCGAGGCCTCTGGACAAATGCTTTGGAAGTCAAAACCCATTTTGTCTCCAGATGATGCACTGAAGGGACTGTGTGCTCAGCATACCTACATACCTGGCCACCAGAAAGCCCCAAGGTCAGGGGTGAGGAGACTCGGGTCCAGGGGACAAAGCAGCCCTCGTACCGTCTCAATCTGGCCCTCTGAGGCTCTCTAGAGGGTGATTCCCTTCCCCCCAAGCACCCATAGTTTACTGCTTTCCTGGCTTTTGTGCAGTATTTCCCCCACTGAAAAGGTTGAAATGCCTCTCCTGGCAGAAATGCCTCTTCAGTTACTGGCAGAAGGAGCTTCAAAATAGGATATGCTGGGACTTTGGATCCTGTCCCTTTGCCTTCCTCTCCACCCACCCCTGGAATGTGGCTTCCTTGGGCTGAAAGTGGTTTTTTTCACCCCTTATATAGGCAAAAAGGGTCTCTCACAGGGGTCCCACCACTCCACTTTTTCCTCAGACCATGAGCTGCTTTGGAAGCAACCGCTGATAATCTTCCCATGCACATCACCATTTCTTTCCCCTGCCGTACCTCTAAATCAGAACACTGCACTCTTAGCCAGAGAACTTCAGGAAAAGCCCATCACACAGTGGCAGAGCCTGTATTTTACATGCAGAAGGACCACTTTTCAATCCCTGCTCGTTTTGGGTAAGGTCAAGAAAGATTCCTGTCCAAGACCCTGGGAAACACTGCCAGTCATTGTAGGCCAGGGGTTGGCAGACTTCAGAACTGTGGGATCCACTTTGTTTCTTCCTAGAACCTGAAGGACCACCAAGTATATGAGGACCTGTGCTTAGAATTATAGAATCCTGAGCTCAGGAATTTGCTTTGAGTAGCAAAAGTGAATGGAGTTCACAGTCCTTTGAGCAATAAAATCCACAACTAGTTTTTACAAGCTGGTTTTGCTGCAGTAGTGCAATTTTTCTTGCTGTGGAAGAGCGTCATGTTGGCATTGTTGCTATAGACCTGGTTTAGATATAACAAGGGCAAACAACCAATGGATTGGAGGTGTTGCGTGAGAGCATGGTTTGTGGTGGGGTTCAGACTCTAATTTACTTAATCCTCAACAACCCAGAGTACTGTAGCATTTAGATGTCACAACTAAGAGTGTAGGAACAGGATGTCCCTAACTTGTTCAACAAGGCTGATGCATAGCTGCTGTGGTGAGCATGTGCAGAAGGCAGTGTGCTTGCTCACACGTTGCCCTGATGACCCGTAAGTTGTCATTACGTGCCAGAAAACCACTGTTCAACATCTGGAAATCACCCAGAGATCCCTCTCGAGCTTCTGCCCACAACTGGTATAGGCAGCACTGGGCTAGACAAACCAATGGGAGGACTCCCTAAGGTCGCTTCCTGCATTTCATGCAGCTGCACACAGACACACCCTAGTGGACAGGATGGTGACTCCCTGAAAAAGTTTCCAGTGCTGTATTTAAATCTGGAAATGATCCCAGTTCTGAACAGCTTGCCATTTTATGTAACTGCCAAAAGCATATTAATAAATCCTGGGAAATCTACCCAGTTAATTGTATCTACTCCTCCTTTCTAGGGAATGTGGGATAGTTTTATAAAATAGTATGGAGCTAGGGAGAGAAGAAAAAACAACTGACATGCACTCAAATTAAGAGTAAATTACTGGATGAAATTCAGCATTACTTATTTGTCTCATGATGATGATGATTCTCCGGTGGGTAGGACACTTCTGGCTCAGATATGTTTAGGAGTTATCCCGACGGGACGGCACCCAAAGACCAGAAGTGCTCCATGGAAGAAAGAGTGCCCATATACATTAATAGCAATCAATAGCAATGGCAAATATCCTATGATGTAGGAAAGTATCTACTGTCTTCCCTTCACAGTGGAACAGCAAATGTTTAAGACAGGAGAAATTAATAATGTGACCCTTTAACCGTAAAATTATGTGAAAGACTTCTGAGATCTACTTCGCAGAAACAGCAGGCAAGCTACTAGACTTGTATCTGGGCTTTAACTACTTCATAATGCAGGCAGGAACTCACAAGGCTGCACAGAGGAAGTGTGGAGGTCATTTGAAAATCCACTTGCAACCTGAAATGGTATGGTTATCATTTCACCTTTATGGTAGCAACGTGCCCCATGTGACAGGGGATACTCCTGTATTTGAATGGCTGTCCCATCCAACTGCGGTTGAAAGACAAAGGACCTTCATAGGGAAAAGCCCGAGTTTTCAAGCAGCCCATGGGCAGTTAGTACGCGCAGGACAGATGCAGCAGGAACCCAGGTCTTGTGGTTGCTGCAGTCTCCCCTGCTACTGTATTGAAAACTATTTCTGCATTCGCATACCTTCATGTACATGTGTTCTCGTGTGCCATCGAGTCATCTCTGACTTATGGTGACCCTAGGAGTACAAGCTCTCCAGTAAATGCTCAGCTCTTGTCATCTCAATGCTGTGGCTTCCCTTATGGAATTGATCCATCTCATAGTGGGTCTTCCTCTTCTTCTTCTGCCGTCAGCTTTCCCTAGCATGACAGGCTTCCCTGGTATGAGTAAATTGTATGCAAATCTGTGTCTTTTTTGTGGTGGGGGGGGGTGATGCATCCTCTCTTTTTTGGCTGTGCGTAAGTGGCCATCTTACACCTGCCATTTGCGAGAAGGATGCTTTCGTGGGCTTAGGATGCGTCCTGACACTTCAGTGGGGTGTCAGGGAAGAAGGACCGGAGGGAGAGAAACAAACGGGCCTCCAAATCTGAAAACTGGTTGCTGTAAGAAGCCTGAAAAGACAGATGGGAAAGAAACACAAATAGCTCTGAACATTTTAGGAGCCAGGAGACAGCTAACAAGGAACCCAGTTAAGCAAGCGCACATGGCACAGAGTATCTGCACTGGCAGAGAGGGAAGATATGGAGGCAGGTAACACGCATATGGCCTTGGCAAGCTTTGTGGGGAACAGCACAGCTCGCGGCAGCCACGAAAACAGGCAGCACAATCTTATGGATGTCCATGCAAAGGAAGGTCCTCTTGTTTCCCATGGTTCTTCCAAGTAAATGTGTTTAGTACCATGGCCTTTTATGAGGAGCGCAAGGTTTCCATTTAGTTTACAATCAGTGCATGCTGTGTGTGCATGCGCCAGAGAGAGAGGGAATATGAAAGGCCAAAGCCAGATGAGGGGGAAAAACTCTTTTGTATAAACAAGGAAGACATCAACTTCTGATCACCAGTCAGAATTAGCCAAGAAGACCTGAAGTGCAATTCCTTCTTAGACTTGGGCACCAAGCTCTCTCCACCTCAAATTTCTATCTAAAACTGGAAATAATAATGGTCACAGGATGACTGCAAGGACAAACCTCAGCCCTTTGTATGTAACAAGAAAAGGCAATTCCCTGAGCATCAATAATAGATAGCAATGCACTTGATGCAAAGAAAACATACCTTTGAGTGGGAAAACAACCTACAGGGGAAAA